AAACTTTAACCTTTAAATGGCTCACGTGTGATGTTGCAAAAATGTCGCTTAAACCAAACAGCCTTTCACCTCCCGATATTATACACCATCAGGTGGGCCGTATGCTCGTCTGCCTACAATAAGTAATTAAAAAAAAAACGCATTATTAATCCGGACGTTTCATACGCTTCATCTTAATCGTCACCAATTATTAATTATACAACAATAAATTTCAACTTTTTAAACGATACTATTTTAAAATTCCGTTCCCGATAAAAATTGTTAAACAAATGTTTTTGACATAACCGAACAAAACAGTACACACAGACGATCAAATCGAGCACATTTTACGAAGAAACAACTGATAATAACACCGCAAATGTGACTCTTATCGTGTGTGATACTGTGACGTATGCGTATGTATATATTCAGAGCGACCATCGTAAAAGAAAAAACAAGAAGCGGTAATTCAATAATAATGCAGCTCTCGTTTCTTTACAGATTGGCTTGTTATCATCATTTATTATTTCCATACTGTTGATGTATTATGTGTATGTAAGTATATTAGTATGTATTGTATGTAAGTATGTATATTGGTATATAATTGGTATATAATAATAGGTATATATTTCATATTATATGTAAACGGTATATATTTTGTTTATTGTATGTATATATTTTCTATAATGTATTATCTATAGTACACCGCAACATACCTGCTATATTTTTTTTTATATTTTCCAGAATTTCTATAAATTAAACGGTTGTCTGGAAGAGATCGCTTTTAGCGATAAGACCGCCTATTGTACAAATTTATCTGTTTTTTTTTATTGTTTTTTTGAATGTAAATTGTGTTTTGGTGTGCAATAAAGTGTATTCTCTCTCTCTCTCTCTCTGGCTTGATCTCCACATTGGCTTTGATATTTAAATAACAACTAGATGATGACAGAGTTTTGCTCGTTTTTTTTTTTTTTTTTGATAACGCCATCTTGTTGTTTCTTTAAAGCGGTTAGTTGCCTTCAATTAAGAAAAATAGTATTATTATTCGCCAATAGATGTCGGGAAGAGTTGATTATTGAAAACACGAATAAAACACCATTTTCTGAAAATAAATCATAGCTAAATCGATTTATCGCCCCCGAAATCCCCTGTATACTAAATTTTATAAAAATCGTTGGAGCCGTTTCAGAGATTCAGATTATACAAGAATTGCTCGTTTAAAGGTATAAGATAAGATAAGATACAACTGTTGCATATTTTAGTATAGATTTTTATTAGAGAGTACTTTCTATTCCAAGTCAATTTGATTTTTCCGATATTAAAATTCAATAAGCACGATTCGAGTCAAGCCGCGAATGCAAACTCTGTCTCAGTCAGTACGTTCGGTACGTGTTTTATCTTACAAATTACGTAATACTGCTTGCTTCAAGTGTCTTTTCACAACTCGTTAATATTTAATTGTGATATATTCAGCCTATCGAGATAACTACTGACCGACGATATAGAGATAGATACCTTGGTGGAATTATGCCATAGCGATACGAGAATGTTTCGAATGTCGGAACACGAATTATTCCGGTTTTAGTTTGGAGTAATATCGATAAACAACAAGGCTTTATTCTAGGCTCCAAACCTTTGTATGAAAAAAAAAAAAGAACGATAAGTTATCAGTTTAGAGTTGGATGATAACGACCCCCCGACACAACAAACCTGCCGCAATTGAAAAAGTTTCTATACTAGTTATTTCCTCTTGATTTCCATAATAATTACGTGGTTTTGGTACAAAAAAATATATATTTAGATAACATGACATTCACTTAAAGTGAATTTCACCAATTAAAGTGGTAAATTTGTTTGCAAGCAATAATTTGTAAGTTATAATTATTAATGTTGTTGAAGTATTTAATTTTGGTGTTAATTGTTATTTAAGTTTTATTACCAAAATCGATATTTATACTTTTTTCAATTAACCTAATGATATTCAGCAGCATTTAGATGAATGCAAGTTTCAATAGAACCCCAAAAAGTCCGAACCAATAAACTTTATCGTTCAATAATACCAGTAACCAGTAACCAGTACAAACGAAGCGTTTAACAGCCGAGAGGTCATTACAGTCACCTTAGATATCAACCTAAGAAGGGATCATTTGAACCTTCTTCGACCGTTATAAGGTTCAGTTTTATTTACCATCGCCGCGTTCGAGTAAGGCACTGATTTCGTAAAGCCAGGTAGAAGTTTTTTAACGACCTTGAGATATACGACGAACGCAAGTATTCGTTGTAATTGCTCATTTATTTACTACCACGCTACTGAAGTATCATGATACTGCTACTTTTAAACTAAGCTGTTAAGCCTTAATATGTTTAATGCCTACGTTATTTCTACATTTTAAAATTGTGTACTGAGGGAGTTAATTTTTTATTTTTAATTTTTTTTTTATTGCTTAGGTATGTGGACGAGCTCACAGCCCACCTGGTGTTAAGTGGTTACTGGAGCCCATAGACATCTATAACGTAAATGCGCCACACACCTTGAGATATAGTTCTAAGGTCTCAGTATTGTCACAACGGCTACCCCACCCTTCAAACCGAAACGCATTACTGCTTTACGGCAGAAATAGGCGGGGCGGTGGTACCTACCCGCGCGGACTCACAAGAGGTCCTACCACCAGTAAAGTTCTATATAACGTTTTTCTTTTCATTAAGACTCACCCTCCCGCGTCAATTGGGTAATAGCATACTGTGTGCACAAATAAAATACTTCAGCAGGAGTGAAAGAAAATCCTAAATTTTATTATCTGCATTATAATGTAATTTTAAAGTTGACGTAAGCTTTTAATTTATGACCCCCCGATTTAATGAGGTATTATTATTAGACCCCCCATTCGTTTTCTGTGCAGCTCCTAGAACTTTAATAAAAATTAAAGATTTTTTTCCTAGTTTAAGTCATTTAAAGTTTATAATCGAATTTTAATTTTCGTACATAATTAAATATTTCAGATTTATTTTGTAGATACATATAACGGCAGTTAAATAATTATAAAAACGAAAACTTTCAACACCTAACAATCACAAGAGTTGAGTTGTTTTCTATGTGAGATAAAAATTAAGATTACGTTATGTAGTATTATTGTAAAAGTTATGACCTACAAGGAACTAAGGATTCATAACACTGGGAAAATATGAGCACATTCAAGGCGAAATTGAAGTCGTGCTCCGTATGCATAGAGGGCGATAAGGGGTCGGAGGCCGAGGGTGGGAGCAGTGTTCGTCAGATGTCATGAATAACTTAACGGTGGATTTCAACACTTTATGGTCACCATCATGTAACCAGATCGGTTATGAATATTTTCATTTTAGACTGAGAATGGTTTGCCGTCGTATGCAATTTTACTGTTCATCTAATGGCTATATTTAACGATTACAATATAAAAAAGGGAACGTTGAATCGTTTCGAAACTGAACAAAATTAGGAATGTTTTAACCTAGTAGAAGACAAAGGGCCACAAGTGAACAGGTAATCTGTCCGCACGCGAGTAGTGCCTGGGCGGAGGCCCGCTTATGGGAAAGTTACAATCATTACGACCATTCATAAACGGTTGAATGAGCCGCAAGACGCCTGCGCAGCCGGCAAACCAGTGCGCGCGCGCACACATCGCGACATCTGTCTTGTCGCGGAGCAGACGCCGCTGTGTTGCGATACCATCTCGACGCCGAACGATCTCCTCAATATTTCATCTTTTATATCCTGAAGCCATAACTCAGCCCAAGGAAAAACCTATTTGAAAATTATATCTGACAAAAACAACNTGAATGAGCAGCAAGACGCCTGCGCAGCCGGCAAACCAGTGCGCGCGCGCACACATCGCGACATCTGTCTTGTCGCGGAGCAGACGCCGCTGTGTTGCGATACCATCTCGACGCCGAACGATCTCCTCAATATTTCATCTTTTATATCCTGAAGCCATAACTCAGCCCAAGGAAAAACCTATTTGAAAATTATATCTGACAAAAACAACAGACTAAAAGAGTGTAATGAACCCGTCAACCTAGCAACCTCTGATGCGTCATCGCAGTCATCGCGCTACGTAAACGAGTACAATTCCACACGACAAAAGCTTGTGTCCGCAAACGACGCATAAATAATTAGACAATAAGCAGGCAGGGCAAGAAATCGGTAATTTGTATCGTGTCGAGATAGGCGGAGCGCAGAGGGAGACGGGTGCAGGCAGGCGCGCGCCGCCGCGGCGCGAAGATATGGCAACGCGTCAGGTGGAAGTGGCGCCCGTGCTGTTCTCGCTTCTCGCCGAGGACGACCGAGCGCCCCCGGCTCCCCGCACCTTCAACCCGCACCCGCTAATCCTCACCCGAACACAATCTGATAAAATTCGCGCCAGCTATGAACATTACGCAAAGTCGTTCAACACTATAAGGCACCGATAATGAATGACCCCGACGATTTCTATACCATGCTGTCATACATAAACATTCGAAGCTGTCTTGCTATCAAAAGATAAAGCGAACAATTTCAAACGTATGAAAGTTATTTCCTCGACTTGGCGAAACTAGTCTTGCGAACGCATTACGGTCCGCGTTACGGCCAGGTGAATTTAAAATGACCTCTATGGGCCGGTGGCTTCTCATGGCCTCGCTAGCCGAATGCGTTGACATTTTGTGGGTTAGCAACTCAACGTGAATCTGTGGTGTCGCGAGAACGATGCCAGGATGACTAACAACCAGGCGTCATTAGTTGTTTCTGTGTAAATGGTCTCATACTAAAATTATAGCGCAATAAGATCGATTAGGAAGTCCGATTGCAGAGAGGCGAATTTCGTATATCAACGGCCGATGACGATAATCAGATCGTCCACTTAACTGTCGTGGTCTCTTTAGTTAGGAATTCTCAAAAAAATGTGGACACGTATTCAAACAATAGTGGACTTCACAGGTGTCACACACTTCGTAACGATTTCGAAAGAAAAGTACATACGAGTTCTTTCATCAATGTAAAAGTGACTTACCAAGGCGAAGAAGTTTGTGTGGCAATCCTCGAGACTTGCACCGTTTGTTTGGTGATTTTGATGCGTCATGGTAGTCCGGGGCACTTCATTTTCATTTCACAACACTAAAAACAGGTATAATCTTAAAGAAACCACTCAAAATCTTAAAATCATCACCGACATTTAGCGTAGTTTTCACCTCTCAATGGCGACTGGAAAATGGCGGAGAGGAAACAACAACCCAAGCCGACAGTGCTGCACGCAGCGGCAGAAATCGAAAGCTCATTTCGTCCAGAAACAATTATAATTCGTTCAACAATAATTATTAAATACAATTCATAATACCTATAAATTAATTAAGGAGTCTTGTTCAAAAGTTATAATTACTTTAGCAGCTTTTTAAACAAGGGCTTTGGATCAAAAACACCTTTTGACAGTACGATAAATACGGAATTNCCGACAGTGCTGCACGCAGCGGCAGAAATCGAAAGCTCATTTCGTCCAGAAACAATTATAATTCGTTCAACAATAATTATTAAATACAATTCATAATACCTATAAATTAATTAAGGAGTCTTGTTCAAAAGTTATAATTACTTTAGCAGCTTTTTAAACAAGGGCTTTGGATCAAAAACACCTTTTGACAGTACGATAAATACGGAATTAAAGTTATAAAATTTATAGCTGGGATAGCTCTGCGTTTAATGGAGTATCGCCACCAACCAGCCTGTGGATTTGACAACTTCAAAAAAGTAAATATAGGTTATGGTTATGCTGTTCACGAAAGATAACATTGCTTATGAATTATATAAAAATATAACAAAACTGACTAGTAGATACCAAAAAAAATTAAGAAATGTTCAGGAATGTATTATTACCCTTACGTCGTGGAAGTTTCCAGGTAAGTTTCATCAGTATCTCCGCTTTCAAAAGGTTCTTAAACAATTGAATGAAAACAAATATATTGTTTCACAGGTCACATCTATCAGACAAGCTCAAAAAAAATATCCCAAAGTAGATAAAAAGGTTCAAGCAGCGGCAGAATCCTTAGCGGCAAGAGGGTAACTAAAAAAAACCAATTCATGTCAATGTGTCAATAACAAGTCTTTTTGTTCTTCTCCAGAGGGTAGATGAGTTCATGGTTTCCCTGGCTTAAATTATTGAATAGAATCCATAGACATTACAGTGTGAATGCTACATCGAGATATGATGATAGTGTTGTTTGATTGTCACAAGTCAAAAGATTCACATGCTACTTAATATACATAAATCTTAATGATATACTTAAAATCTAAATGCTGCTACTCACCTTGAGACATTTAGATCTATGACACTAGATTCCGTGCCAACTACATTATTAAAAAAATCTAAATAATAAAAAAAAAGAAAATTCATAGAAATATTTTGTTGCGAGCATGTTTTTTTGTAAATAATTCATGGCTTTTCTTGATTGAAAATTTCATTTAATTACATTTAAATTTAATCAAAGTACATTTTAAGGTATTGTTGCTGTTTAGAGATTCATATTCCAGTATAAGATTTAAGTATTTTTTATTTATTTAAGCTTCCTACGTCCCACCAAGTCATGGGATCCACCTACAAACATCAATGAAACAATTCTGAAAATATGTGCAACATGTGGATTAAATGGAAATTCAGAATTTGAAGCATTGGACACAAAATTTACAGTTCTCAAAGCTTGTTATGAAGAAACAGGCCATAGTGTGCCTAATTCACTTTTGCATACAATTGAAACAGTTGGTTGGTAAACAATTCTTAATATTGAGATTGAAGTAGATAGGTACTCAAGTAGCCAATACCATTATACACATAAGAATAAGAGGACTATTAGTGATTGATATTCAAAATTCATTCATCTGAATTATTAATATGAATGATGAATGATTAATATTTAGAATATTACAATTGACATGTCCTTCTTCAAACGAGGCTTGTGGAGAGTATTAAGCGGTAGGCAGCGGCTTGGCTCTGCCCGTGGCATTGCTGAAGTCCATGGGCAACGGTAACCACTCACCATCAGGTGGGCCATATGCTCGTCTGCATACAAGGGCAATAAAAAAAAAATATTCACTTTTTTGTTTAGTGTGTGATAGTGTTGTGTAGTGATTGATCTCTTCTAAGCAATTCTATATAATGAGAATTTGAGAATGCTCTGTGTTGTTTAATCATTATCAATGTTTGTCAATTTTCAGATGACCTAACAGAATTTTACAAAACACCTGTGTACACAACTACACCGTTTGATGCTCTGAAGTTAATGGATCTACCCAAAAATCTACATGTTCAAAAAGATTATGTTAGATTTCATCCAGGTCAGTTTTGTTTATCTATGGTTCAAATATAATTCTATAATTTTACTTCATTCTGAGTTATGAATGAATGTTGAAACTTTTGATATTTTATAAAATGGCAATCTCTAAGAAAGGTACAACATGATCAACATCACTGGTATGGTATATGATAGAGGAGTATGGAAGGAGAATACATATTGCGCTGACCCCAGATGAATGGCAGAAGTGCAGAAGAAAAATGTTGATAAATCACTGACACTAATTCTCAATAATCCAGTAAACAGCTCATTTTCAAAATGATATTTTTTCTATTTTCAGATACGGACACTTTATTCAATGGCGTCTCCGCTTTTCCAAAGAGTTCGACTATTGTAACCGGCCTTAAAGCACGGAAGAAGTATGAAGGCTACAATGCTAAAAGGAAATGGCCTTGATTCAATACATGTTTTCAATAGCTTCTAAATTACTTAGTTCATGTAATAAATTTTATGGAAAATGTGTTTTATTATTTAAATGGTCACCATTTAAAGATATCATCATTTTATTTCTTTAGAAGTCAGCTGGTATCAATAATAATATTTACTAGAGAATAGTCATCACAATGTAAATGCTGATAGCTGCTTTGGCATTTGAAGGCGAAATCTCAATTGTACTGTAAAATGTCTGTCTCGCCTTTCAAATTGAAAGGCTTGAGAGGCTATTTCAGCGTACCCTAGCTTGTGTAGGTGAGCTCGCGGGGCTCAAACCGGAGAATTGCTAACACCGCCCTAGCAAGAGCAGTGCTTCGCAGAATCTACCACCGGATCGGAAGCGCGACCCACTGAGAAGATCCGGCGAGAAACTCAGTGGGCTGTGTCTGTGGGTTAATTCGCTCGTCGAGCCCTTCGTCGCAAGCGACGGGTTCGGCGAGGACGGTGACCGGTGCTTGTATTGCCTAAAAGCACCGTTAATGGATCAGGAGGATCCGTGATGACGTGCTTTGGGCGACGTCGACGGTTTACCAATCGGTCTACAGGATCGGGTATGTAGTTTCCGGCGGCCACGACAAGAGGGTTCTCATGTCGTGCCGTCTTCTCAAAGTGGCGCAGCGATGCCGACTGTAGATACTTACTGACGGGGTCGAGCTCCAGGTCATCGTGGAGGTCCACGTTCCTCTGGAACCATAAGATTGCATTAACTATGCAATAACACAAACGCATTAAAAACCATTTACAATAATCATAATAACGATAAACAATAAACACATGTAAATTGCTGTGTGTTGTACGAATATTATATTTATTTAAGTGTGTCTGTGTGTATTTAGTGTAATTTTAAGAAAGATACAATTACATGTCAATTCTCACTAAATTTAGATTAAATTAAAAACAGGTCTTTACGTAGGTAGGTAGTCTTATTTAATTATTCGTGATAGAACAAATTATTCGCCGACAATCTGAAAAAGGCATAAAAAGTTAGACAGACGTGCCAATTGAGTATCATGTAGGTACCTCATATCTCAAAGTGTGTAGTATCATTCTCATTGTTGGCTTATGAGCAAAGACGATCACTTAGTATGAGATGACTTATGAGCCTGTGTACCTCTACAGCGCTCACCACGCATAGCTCTGTATTTATTCTATATCTTATATATATTTCTTATATATCTTATACGGTATATATTTCTGTATTTAAGCAATAGGTTTTTAAACGAAAATTTGACATATGGTATGTTGACGTTTTATGGCTGTGATTTTAGAGGTTAGGAATTAGAGATTTGAAACATTTTTCTTATTCCTTTAAATCTACAAATATTATATAAAGAGCGATCGGGATGATCTGAGATTACGAAGATGCATTTGTTACTCATATTATGCTTTATTTTCTTGGCTATATATTCGTGTGTTTCTTGGTCTGTATTAATTTAACATGTACCGCTGTTTGTATTATTGTTTTTGTTTTGCGTACGATTTATTTTCGTTACGTTATTTATAGGTTGCTGCCGACCCTGTTGGCTTGGCTCTTCAAGAGAAAGTATCATATAAAACTAAAAATTGGCCGAATTGCTGTACCTAAATTAATCTTGAAGGATGTGAGTTTATCAAAAGATGGATATTATATTGTAAGTAGTAAATAAATAATTTGGTATTTAAAATTCTCTATGCATTATTTAGAAAAAGATATATTAAACAGAAAAATATATTTTTTTTATTTGTAAAAAATATATCTTCTACTTCTTTCAGCCCACAGACGTCCTCTGCTGGACATAGGCCACATAAATAATATAAATATATATTACATTGATTCTTAATAACATAAACATAACAACAGGCACTAGATATTTGCATTATGGTACAATGACTCTTCTATTCTTCATCTTCAATTGTAGCAGCCCATAGTAATTTTGCAAAAAAAAACTGGTTCATGCTGTAAATAAGTAGTTTTTTTTCAGCTTGTAATATGACTTACTTATACCTTATATCTATAATATATTAGATTGAGGATAGGTTGTTAGGGATATAGGATTTATGTTGGAAAATTGATAAAGATTCTACTTCTGATTCTACATGATTTTTTCAGAGAATTGTTTACTTTATTTTCAGCATATAGATGAAATATCATTTCAAAGCAGCTGCTTCAATTCAGATATTAATAAACTAGTGTCAGTTGTGATAAGAGGAGTAGAAGTGACCAACAATGTTGAACAAAAACGAAGTGTGGTTGTGGAGACTATCCTTAAGCCATTACTATCAAAACAAAATTCGTTTTCAACACGTGAAGAAATAACAGCTACCAGTGGTCTAAATTCTCTGAGCCATGACCTTTCTATTCTAGATAATAAGAAACTGCTAGACTTTAGGGACAAAAAACTTCCCCCAAGTCTAATTATGTTTGCACAGGTAAGAATAAACTTCAATAGTTTGGATGAGACACATTTTCCTGTTTTATGTACTAATTTAAAATAAAGTATTTCATATTGTTTTTGTGAGTTTTAAACAATGAATACTACTATCATAACTTAATCTCTGACTGACAAATCAAAAAACCACCAGAACTCAAAAGACGAACAGTTTATTCTGTGGAAAATGAAATGTGAAATAACAATTTTTATAAATAATAGACTAGTTAGTCACAATATTCAAATGTTGACATGTGAAACCTTAGTTGTCTTTTACCATGAAAATTGTAAAGTATTTGAAACATCAGAAATAATAATAATATTAACGATATAACATTAAAAAAACAATGTTAGATTAAGCTCTTTAATTTATATTGTCAAATACAAATTAATCTATTTGGTAAGGAACTCTGAGTTTCATGCTCCCCTGAAACGAAGCTCTGGGAGATACATCAAGATATGAACTCCTGTGTTGCATGCGAAAACGCAGCTAAGATGACACCTTCAATTTTGGTGTTCGGTTGGTTCCTGCCTTCCCATACTATAAGCGCGAGAAGTGGGAACCTGTAATTTTATGAATTAAATCATACTTTGTACACAAAAAACGGTATCATTGTTAAACAGAGATTAGATGAATCAAGTAATAAATTCTCCCTATCAATAACATTTTTTTATTGCTTAGATGGGTGGACGAACTCACAGCCCACCTGGCGTTAAGTGGTTACTGGAGCCCATAGACATCTACGACGTAAATGCGCCACCCACCTTGAGATATAAGTTCTAAGGTCTCAAGTATAGTTATTATAATTGTTAGAACGGCTGCCCCACCCTTCAAACCGAAACGCACACACTAATACATGAAATTAAACTAGTTTCTGTTTACAGTTCATGGGAGTTCACATATTTAACATCTCAATAACAATCAATAATGTGACGGAAGACAATGCTTTCTCCGTGCACACCACTGCTACAGAACTTCATGCTGATGGTGCGGCCGGTGGACCTGCCCGCGCATTGGTGTTTTCTACGAAACTAATGAATGCAAAGGCCAGGGTTGTTAGACTAGGGCTCTGCTTAGGGGAAGTTGCCTGTAGTCTTCTTGTAGAAGGTACAGTGAAAGCTGATGGCCCCTTAAATGTTGAGGTTAGTATGAATATTGGATGTCAGTGTGATCAGAACACTGAATTTAGTTTTAGCTAATAATTACAAGATTTTCTTTAATTTTTGAATCCGTCAAATATGTGTTAACTGGGAGCTGTGAAATAATTGGGGGCCACAGAAATTACATTATCCATGCTGCCCATTTCATGTCAAAGTCCTAATGAAATTAAAAGCTGAGCTACATCTCACAAATGAGTTTATATTTATAAAGGTTTTACACAAATAGTCAGTTTGCTGATACCCACTAATGTGAACTTGAAATTCCCCGAGCACCACCATGAGTGATTAAATAATAATATTCAATATTTTTACAGAAAATCCACATGACCATCAACAATACAACAGCAACATTCCAAGATGAATTTTATCAGTTTCTAATACAGCGTAAAAGACAAAAACGTGCAACACTTCACTCAGAGTTAAATGAAGAGGACCATCTCGGTACACTCATACCCAGACTGTCGCCTGTTATACCAAAGGTAAGTGTAATTTGTCATATATTCATCTTTTGAGTTCGATTTGATTGTATAAATCAAATTTCAAAACTTAATTCATGTCTGATTGTATTGCAGATATTCATGTAAATACTTTAATTAAATCCTCTTTGCAGATTTTTAGCTTAAGGATAGAAATGACGAAAGTCAGTTGCCTCGACAGGCAAACGAACACAAACTTTGAGATGCTACTTCACAGTTTACAAGTAAGTATGACTTTATAGCTTTTTTTTTTTTATGGCTTAGATGCTTGGACGAGCTCACAGCTCACCTAGTGTTAAGTGGTTACTGGAGCCCATAGAAATTCACAGCGTAAATGCGCCACCCACCTTGAGATACAAGTTCTAAGGTCTCAAGTATAGTTACAACGGCTGCCCCACCCTTCAAACCGAAACGCATTACTGCTTTACGGCAGAAATAGGCAAGGCGGTGGTAACCACCCGCGCGGACTCCAAGAGGTTCTACCACCAGTAATGACGCAAATTATAAGATGTCTAGATGTAGAAGTTGTAGATGTCTACGGGCTCCGGTGATCACTCAACACCAGGTGGGCCGTGAGTTCGTTCACTCAAAAAGGCAATAAAAAAAAAAAAAAAAGTGAGGGCTTGTCGAGTGCTTTCGGCTGTTGCAGATAACTTGGTGTTTTCAGTGAGATTTATCATTATGGAGAACCCAATAATGAGCTATAACATGTTAATGTTCAGGTGAATTCAAGGTTTAGTGCAGTCGCAGGGCACGCAGACGAGGCAGGCGGCGAGGCGGCCGGCCTGCCGCAGCTCTACGTGGCCTTCCAGATGGACCAGCACCAGATTTGCGCTGATGACGACACGCTTATGTTTTTGAATAAGTTAAAACTCGATGCTAAGGTACACTTCACTAGCTATTTTTACCCAAAAAAAAAGTGATATCTTTTCTGTGTGAAATAATTTATACTACTATATTGAAGTTAACATGAAATTAGGAATGTAGGTAATGTTGATAGTATAAACAAGAAAAATCACAAAACAAAAATTTTGAAATAATATATTCAAATGTACTAAAGATATCATAAAATCTTTTTTCTAGCTAGAGAAAGGTGTTTTGAATCTGTATTTGATTATAAGCACGTTGAACATCAAATATGAACATTTGAACTACTTCAAATGGTATTCTTCGGTTAGAGACAAGTTCAACAAATCCAGACCTCTGCAACTCCCAGAGCCGCCGACCCCCTGTAAGTAAACACATTATCAGATCCCTTTAGTTTCATTATTAAGTGGACGTTGTATAATAAATACGACAACATTATATTTAAATACTAGCTGACCCGGCAGACTTCGTAGTGCCTCAATCGATAAATAAAAAGGAATCCGTCTGACGGGGGCCACATCAAAGGAAAAACAAAATCGTTATTTTTATTTAATTCCGAGCATTTTCATATTTATCTACCTTTTAAACTTTCTCTGGACTTCCACAAATAATTCAAGACCAAAATTAGCCAAATCGGTCCAGCCGTTCTCGAGTTTTAGCGAGACTAACGAACAGCAATTCATTTTTATATATATAGATTAGTGTAGATTTTTGATCAGAGCTATGTGTGTGGTTCTTTTAAGCGAAGCTTAACTGTTAAGGATTGATTTGCACCTCAGAGTCAGTGACGGCGGTGCCACACTAGCCTACGATCTTAAGACTTATTACTTTGTCCATCTCTTGGTTGTGGCACATCCCTAATTTGTATTTCCTGTGAACAGGTGATCGGCTTCGTAAGCAGTCACCATACCTAGAGTCGAGCTTAAAATTCTTTTAATTATTGATTGTGTCCACAGTACACCAGTACACCAACAACAGTAAAAACAGTAGGTATATGAAGTCAATTCAGAAAGATTGTCGATAGATTACCATTATCGATATTGAACTTTAATTAGATATGTAATCATCTTCAGTAATACTTTCAGTAAAGTGATGGGGTTTGTATTGTTGAATAGTAATTTACTAGTGGTAGGATATCATTTTGAGTTGGCACGGGTAGGTACCACCACCCTGCCTATTTCTGCCGTGAAGCAGTAATGCGTTTCGGTTTGAAGGGTGGGGCAGCCGTTGTAACTATATTTGAGACCTTAGAATTTTTATCTCAAGGTGGGTGTCGCATTTACGTTGTAGATGCCTATGGGCTTCAGTAACCACTTAATACCAGGTGGGCTGTGAGCTCGTCCACCCTTCTAGGCCCATATGTGTGAAGTAGATTGTCAGAGAGAGGTTGTCGACAGCGGCGGCCCCGCGCTGGGTGTCGCGCGCGCTGCGCTGGTGCGTGGTGCAGTGCTGCGCGGAGCTGCGCGCCGTGACCGCGCACGCGCGCCTGCTGGGCGACAAGGCGCTGGCGGCCGGCTGCGGCGGACTCAAGGTCAAGCTGGACCAGCTGCTCGACTCCAGGGGTACGTTGCCAACACTGAGAAGATCATAATCTATATATTAATACGTGAAGCAAAAACTTTGTATCCCTTTTTACGAACATTGCGCGGACGAAGGATTATGAAGTTTTTTAAATTATGCATAAAAGATACATTAAATCAATAAAGAAAACATTACACACACTACCATGTATTTGACACACACACACACACACATATGCTCTTTGTTTATTGTCAAACTTTTGTTATTGCTTAAAGTCTGTAGTTAAATTGATAATAGTAGTTAGTATTAGTTAGTATTGTTTATCTTTAATATTACGAGTATTTGTCTATAGTGTAGTCTTGTCGAAATCTGTAACAATAGGACCATAATAATGTTGAAACTTATAATTTCAATTCATTATAATTGAATTACGACTACTGCGGGACCACTAGTCTATACTAATATATAAATCTACAGTGGTTTTTACGGATATTCCGTTATAACTACTGAACCATGCATTCGATTGACTTGAAACTTGGTATCCATGTAGAAAATAAATGTACTTCTATGCAACAAAATAAGATTAATACTGCAAAAATATTATTAACATCTTGACATAGTAGTAAAACTTACATTGTATTTGCATCATCAATTTTGGTGATGTTCAATATACCTTTTCTAATGTATGACTATAATTGTAAATGAAGTAAAAAATGGTTATTTGCTCTAGAAACATTTGCATATTCGAACATGACAAATAAACAAAAGAAATTATATTCAAATGAAACCCAGTTTTAACTCGCCGGGGAATTACTGCCAACAACAAAAGGGAATAATTAATAAAATATTGCATTGTCAGAGGAGGCGTACAAGTCCCGCGTGGCCCGGCTGGTGGTGGGGTCGCGCCAGTGGAGCACGGAGCTGCTGGTGGACGGCGGGTGGGTCGCCAGCGGAGCCGCCTGCCTCGCGCACAGGGAGGCGCCGCCCCGCCGCCACCACGCCTGGGGCTCCGCGCTGCTCGCCGTGGCGCTCGTCAAGTGGGGCAGCCACGGACCCCGGGACTCCAAGGTCTTTATGCATTCAAAGAAACATTATTGTTATTTGATCGCCTCGTTGGTCACTATCCGGTCACCGTCCTCGCTGAACCCGTCGCTTGCGGTGAAGGGCTCGATGAGTAAATTAACCCACAGACACAGCCGACTGAGCTTTTCGCCGGATCTTCTCAGTGGGTCGCGTTTCCGATCCGGTGGTAGTTTCTGCGAAGCACTGCCCTTGCTATTGCCAGTGTTAACAACACTCCCGGTTTGAGCTCCGTGAGCTCACCTTCACGTCAAGGAGAAGCTGAAATAGCCTCTCAAGGCTATCAGCATAGGTAGGAGAAAATGGTCACCATATACAAACATTTAATATCGAACATTTATCTTGACATTTACTGGTGATATTGTAGGGTCTGAACGAGGACCGCCTTCTGGCCCATTTCTGCCGCGAAGCAACCACGCGTTTCAGTTTGTAGGGTGGACTAGCTGCTATAGAATACAATGGAGACATCGATCGCATTTCCAATATCGTGGCGACGTTGAAGTATGTGTATGGGAATGGCGATCGAAGCAACGTTTTACTGTTTCCAGGTAGAAGCTATGATGGACTGCCTACGCCTGGAATGGAGTGTCACATTAGCTGAAACTCTGATAGCGGCCGTCGAATGTATGAACCAGTACAAGTCGGCCCGCCCCCCCGCGCCGCCGCCGCCCCCGCACCCCGCCGACGTCCCCCTCAACATCGCCGTGAACGTGGCGCTGTCGCACATCAACCTGTTCTTGATAGTTAACGAGAACATGTGCCTGATGACCAGAGTCGACGCCGTCAGCATCGAGAAGACGGTCAGCAAATCTGGTGCCGTCATCTCGGGGTTCAAAGTTGTCGATATGGTGCCTTACAAAGGTGAGTTCGTTTTCTCCGAGTAAAATGTGTTTATTTATAACTTTCTATTATCCTCAAACTTGGGATGAAAATCAATTTAAGTATTGTATCAAAATAATGAATTGTACCAAATCTTTTCTAGGTAACATGCAGTGCCAAAAATCAGACGAGATACCTACTACATTCTTCCATGTAAAACTAGCTAGAATAGAGCACACGCTGTCGAAGGAAAGGAATTCTGCGCTCTTAGACGTACAGTTTATAGAAAATGTCGACTTCGAATGGAGCGTTAATCTCCATCTTAAAATACTGACGTTCGTCAGAGCCTTCAAAAGCTTTATGGGAGAGTTGAGTTCGAAAAACAGAAACATCGACGCGGTACCCCCTAGTGCGGGCGCGGTGCCCCCCGGTGCGGGCGCGGTACCCCCCGGTGCGGGCGCAGTGCCCCCCGGTGCGGGCGCAGTGCCCCCCGGTGCGCGGAGGAGAGCATTGGACTGGCGCGTCACATTCAAGGGAGAAACTAATCTAGGTCTGATTTTGTCGGATGAAAACAATATGCTTTATAATACTGGTAAGTGAATTTTTAGCGAGCTTGCACAGTGAACAGCGGTATCAAAATTATTCTGTATTCTAACGAAAGATTAGCTTTGTGGAGTTTGTGTCATTTTCATTAAATTTATATAGTGAATTTAGAACTCAAAGGTTCATAAAGGCTAACGGCAAGCATATCCTTACAAAGTGTCCCAAGTAAATAGAAGACGTCACTCACCACATTAGAGACAAACGTTTGTTTTGTACTTTGTAATTTCAAGAGTTGTAAAGTATGAGGGCGCCACTGTAACACGACCACTGATTTTTATAGTTAACTTTAAAGAGCACTTAACTTAAAAGAGTACGTAGTTTTAAATAGTAATAAACGCTTGGCAGCGGCTTGGCTTTGCCCCTGGTATTGCTGAAGTCCATGGGCGACGTTAACCACTCACTATCAGGGCCGTATACTCCTCTGCCTACAAGAGCAATAAAAATGAAATGTAAAATAAATTTATAAATTGAATTTCTATTTACAAACTTTGTTCAATAAATAATACATTTGCGGTGATTTCATTAAGTACTACATGATACACTACAACGATTACGATGTAGTGTATCATGTTTTCACTGAGAATACTTCACTTTGTTTATAACCGCTAAGTTCATATCAAACCCTGATTGGATGGATTGTATTATTGAACTCCTCATTAGTGCTACTCTCCTCCTACCTTCCACCATCGCCTGCCATCACTCGATGGTTATTAAAAAAATAATTTCCTTGTTGTGTTGCAGACGACATGATCATCTCATATGATCACGAGGCCGGCTTGTCGCTAGTCTGGAGTAAACTCCACATGATACTCAACGGTGACGAGCTGATGACCGTGGAAGGGTATACCATGGAACGCGCCGTCGATGACCCTGAGGTCAGGGTCGAGAGGAAGGCCAATGAAAGCTTTCAGCTCAAGTGGAATAAAGTCTGGTCAGTCGCAGTTCGCACCTCACTAGGACCCTAGTGGAGTCAATATTAACAAATGAATCAAAATCCATGCACTTAACTCATATGATATATGTAATGATTTTCAAGTAGATTATATTATTGGAAGTTGAAATACAATAAAGAGAACTTTATACTGTTCGGATGGTATTGTGTGAAATAAGGATCGTGGTTCCTACCCGTGTGGGATTACAACACTTAACTTGCCCTAGTTCTAGTAAATGTAGTGTATTGGTAATAACATTCAGAAAGCTCTGTTATCCGTTTTCCGGTGAAAGCCTTTGTCCTGTGACACCCGCGGGATGAGGTGAGGTAGTGCCATTTCAAACCGGCCCTATGCAGCCAGTGTATGTGCATAAAATAAACATACCCTTTGTTGCCATTAAGGTAGAAAAAACAATACGAAAATATATGACTTCTTCATACTAGTTCGGAGCGTGCTCCGTTGTCCGTTGGTTCGTTGGTCCGGCTCCGGCTGCACCTCGCGCCCGCTACCCGGCTGTGCACTCCCGGTGTTCGTACACTTGCGAACCTTAGGACCGCTGGGTACCCAATAAACCCCATTAAACTACAGTCCCTTTATAAGCCATTTAGATATAATTGACGCAGCCGGGCGTATTTGTCAATTAAGTTTATTAGCACTTAACAATTTTTTGATGGAAGCGCCATCTGTTGGCCAATACATGAAATAATACTTACAGGTTGGTGAGTGTACATTCAGTACGTGTAATATTCCCGTACAAACATCGTTTCGCTGAAGCCGTGCAGGGAGATTTTGTAACACTGTTCAAGTGGATTAAATTGATTCACGGCATTAAGAAGAAACCCTTCACCGCGGACAGCCCCCTGCCCAGCGACCTGCACATCAAGGTAGTGTCCAATGGCTTCGTTTATATTCTACTCACTATATCTTCAGTTTCACTGTTAGTGAATAATTTTAAGTCGGTTTAAGTTAATCTTAAAATAACAATATTATCGATATTTATCGATATTGCGCTGAGGAAGCGACGTTCGAGAGATGTAGTTTGTCAGTGACTTTGTATATTATTGCAGATTGACGAGATATTAATAGAGATGAGCGACGACCCGTTCGAAGTGAAACTGCGAGACAACTACGAGCTGCTCGAGGACGAGTACAAGGAGAGCCAGAAGAGACGCACCATGCTGGACGCCAAGGTCAGCCGCGGCACTAGTGCAGATATTTGTGCTCAGGACCTCAGGTTTTTATTATAACTAGGGTAGTAGTCGAAATTCGACTGTAATTAATAGAAATTATAAGTTTGAACATTATTATGGTTCTATTGCAAAGACTTTACTTCTATAATCACAGATTTTGCCAAGACTATAGACAAACAATATTAAAGATAAACAATATTAAACTATTTTCGATTTGACCACAGACTTAAAGCATAAAGTTTGACAATAAACAAAGAGTATATAATACATCTGTGTGTGTGTGTCAATACATGGTAGTGTGTGTAATGTTTTCTTTATTAATTTAATGTATATTTTATGCATTATTAAAAAAAATTATCATTGTGCACTCCTTCTCTATGTTTTATATAAGTGTGTGAAATTTCATACTTTTTTTCAATTTTCGTAAAAAGGGGTACAAAGTTTTTGCTTGACGTATTGATATTGGATTGTGTGACGTATTGGATTGTGGTCAGGTTCAAGAGCTGTGCAAGCCGCACCTGTTCCTGCCGGCCGGCAAGGTGGAGGAGCTGTACGCGGCGCTGCGGCACAAGGACGCGCAGATCTACGTGCAGCGGAGCCGCGCCGCCCCCCCGCCGCGCCGCCGCCTCGTGGCCTGCACGCTCGCCGCGCTGCGCGTGCTGGCGCTCGCCGACCCCGCGCTGCACGCCGCCGCCGCCGCCGCGCGCCTGCGCGACATCGACTGCGACAGGCACGCACCCCTCCCCCACTACTCCAAGGGTTACGGGCCCAACCACCCGCCGCCCAACCAACTATATAAAAATCCGTCAGATAAACTTTATATTTAATATACTTACTCCTTTCCCCTATACACGTCATTACGGATCCTCTCGATCTATTAACGGTGCTTTTAGGTAGCTCAAGCACTGGTCTCCGTTCTCGTCGAACCCGTCGCTTACAACGAAGGGCTTAATTTAACCCATAGACACAGCCCACTGAGTTTCTCGCCGGATCATCTCAGTGGGTCGCGTTTCCGATTCGGTGGTAGATTCTACGAAGCACGGCTCTTGCTAGGGTCAGTGTTAGTATCACTCCGGTTTGAGCCCTGTGAGCTCATCTATTAGTAAAGGTCACGCTGAAATAGCCTCTCAAGACTATTAGCATAGGTAGAAAAATAAATTTGACGACAGCGATGCCCCGCGGAGCTCGTCCATTTCTCTATACACTCTTTATACGATATACAATCTGTTTAGAATCAATGAGAGGCTTAAAACATAAAGAGCACAATATTGAGTTAGTTAGTATAGTATTGTGCGTGCTGCAGCCCGTGGCCGGAGGAGGGCGTGGAGTTCAGCTCGCTGTGGTGCCGCGCCGTGACGCTGGGCTGCGCGCAGTGGCAGCTGCTACTCCGGGACTTCCCGCAGCCGCTGCTGCACATGAGCAGCCTGCGCACGTGGGGCACGCTGCTCGCCGCCGAGGAGCAGCCGCCGCCCCGGGGTCAGAGCTCCCCTTACTATACCTACATATAATAAAGTGTAAACGCAGTGCTGATGCTATCACTGGTATAGTGACAAACGCGTCATGCCATGGAAGGCCCCACTATACACCTTTGCAGTTCACGACAGGTTGTGAGCGTTACCATTTGAATAAATATCTATGACTTCAAACTGAACTGAATCATTAGGAGTGAACGTTGAAACTAGAACTGTCTTGTTGGTTATAATACTGTAGAGATTTTGTGACTTTTTCATTTAATTTACGCTAAAAATCTGAACGTTCAATTCTTTTTTTTTTTTTATTGTTTTTGTAGGCATACGAGCATACGGCCCACCTGATGGTGAGTGGTTACCGTCGCCCATGGACTTCAGCAATGCCAGGGGCAGAGTCAAGCCGCTGCCTACCGCAATTCGCAGTATTTTGTTAAAAAATGACAATTGGCACGCGTAAACTACCACCAGAGTTCACAAACAAGGGAGCACGACTCGATTTTTAATGTTTTGGGTCATTTACGTTGTAAATGTCTATGGGCTCCGGTAACCACTTAACATCAGGTGGGCCGGGAGCTCTTCCACCCAACTAAGCAATAAAATAAAATAAAAAACATTCACTTTTATTTTATTCGATCGATTATCAATTTGATTCTTGCGATAACTTTTAGTGGATGAATAGTTTAAATTAGTCTATGACATGAAAAGCTCGTATATTTATCATTGGATATCCAAAGATAACAGATGAGCAGGTAGTCTGCAGAGTCACCCTCAAAGGCATCTAAGATTTAGCCAAGCGATAAAAAGTGTCGATAGTTTAACGAACAGTTATCTGAGGTCGTGTTATTGTACTCCAGCTGTCCGCACGGTGGTGGTGCGGCAGGGCGAGCCCTGGGGCGACGTGGAGCTGGAGCGCAGCATGATGCCGCTCAAGTGGTACTACGACCTGTGCTGCGAGATGGCGCAGTTCAGCTACGCCTTCGGGCCCTGCTGGGACCCCGTCATCGCTCACTGCAATCTCGGTGAGCACCATACTTGCTCGATCGTATTAATCGCACCGCGTCTAAAGAAGGACATGTCATAGCGCGGTGAATACTTGATGACTCATTCTGACACACGGAAGGCTGAAGACGAAGAAGCCACGAAAAACTTCTAGTTGTACGTTCGCTATAAGATGGGGTCATTGACTTCCAGCGTTCGACCACGTGTCCCGGCCGTCCCTGGACCCATCTCCGCCCTTGGCCTGGTGGGACAAGGTGCGGCTGCTGATGCACGGGCGCCTCACCCTCAACTGCAGCAAGTTCACGTGCCTGCTGCACGTGTCGCTCGACCCCTACAACACCACCGAGGAGATGGAAGTCACGTGGACCGACCTCGTCTTGGACTGGACGAACGGTTGGTTGCTTCTCTTGTGAATGTTGAAAACAACTACATACAGGAGCATGGAAATACAGTGTTCGTATCGTCGAATTGAAAAGTTGGTACTATTTATATAACACTGCACTGGTGTGTGCAGGCAAGTTGGGTTTCCTGGGCTCGCTGAGCGTGTTGGTGCGCACGGCCAGCAAGTACGACGACTGCCGCGTGCTGAGCGCCGGCCGCGTGCGCCTGGGCGTGCGCCTGGCCTGGGCGTGCGGCGCCGACCCGCGCCACCACCACGCCGTCACGCCCTGCGCGCCCACGCGCACGCCCGACTACTCCAGCAACCAGGTCCACTACTCCCGCACGCACTCCCGCACGCACTCCCGCACGCACTCCCGCACGCACTCCCGCCAATTTTTTCAACGCTTAAATCTTCGAATATTATTAGCCGATGTTTCCATTGAGTGAATTATTTATTTAGAATATATTTGAATACAGGAACACGACTCGTACCGCGCCTTCCGGTCGCAGGGCCTGGACCTGCACCTGACCCTGGAGACGAAGCCGGCCGACAGGGACGCGCCCGGACCCGTCCTGCTGCTGTACGGGAGCACGCTGCGGTACTTGTCAGCCAATCCGACTTCGGTGATCGTATAGAAGCTAAAGATAAGCACACGCGACCATTCAAGGGAAACGGAACCAGTTTGAACCTCAAATTACTGCCTGATGACCAGTAATTCTGATTGCATTATCAGTTGCAAGGCCACACGGGCCTCTGTCATAGATTGCAGGAATGAGCATTTTCGACATTATACCTCAGATCGATCTTGTGATACGAGGAACTTGTTCTCTTCCAGAGACCACGTAGTTAGATTCCTTAGCCCTTCTTTCTAATTCCAATCTCGAGCAAATTTGTAGGGCACAGAGTGAGGTCTTCGATTGTGAAATTTGAGATTTGGTCACCTCTGCAATCACTCAAATCATCAAGTGTGTCGCCTCTGATGTTGCATTGCCGAGCATTTCAGCGACCCGCCGCTCCACAGATGGTTCGAGAGCCTGAAGCTGATCCTGTCGGGCATCACGCGGCCCACCCGCCGCGGCCGCCTGTTCAACAACGTGCGGCCCCGCAAGCCGCAGCTCTCCCGCCACTACCGGAACGTCAGCGTGTCGCTCACACTACATAATTTGCAAGTAAGCTTGATGTGTCGAGTGTGGTGGTCCCGGTTGTCCAGTTGTGAGTGCTAATGTCCATGCGTGTGCCGGCGCGCAGGTGTGCTACTGGTCGTCGTCGTCCCTGCAGCGCGGCATCGAGCTGTGCGGCGGGCGCGTGACGTGCGGCGCCAAGCACGCGCTGCGCCTGGAGCCCGCGCCCGGCCCGCTGCGCCGCCGCCCGCGCGCGCTGTGGACCGCGCACTACCTCACCTGCGACCTCAACGACGCCGAGATCTGGCTCAAGACGCGCGCCGCCGACGACAAGGTAACGAACCTTGAAGCAATGGAAAAAAAAAACAAAAGACTAATGACAAATATTTAACAAGGTTTATACTCTTAAGAAATCTAAATACATTTTAGGAAAATAATATTTCTTTTACATCATTATTAATTATCTAGGATGTATTAAAAACATCTGTCACTCATCGATTAATGTCGAGAGTCGATTAATTCCAGATGAGTGTGGGCGGCGGCGGAGGCGACTCTCCGCAAGCGATGGAGAAGCTGTACTGTCTGAGCGTGCGGCGCGTCTCGTACACGCGCGAGGCGGGCGGGGGCGGGGGCGGGGGCGGGGGCGGGCCGGCGCACCGCGTGGCCGTGCACCACCTGCGCGGGGCCTGGACCAAGCTCAACCGGGACCTGGCCTTCGGGCTCATCGACACCTACATCAAGACGCAGGTACTCCACACCTCACGGAATCTCACAATAGATAGGCACGTACCATTTACAAAACTACCTGACATTGACAGTAAGTTGGTATAGGAGAGGCGATATAATTTTATCATTATAATATCATTATTTATTTACATTAATCGATAATTATAATCAAAGATTTGTGTCTGACAGCAACTGAAGAAGAATTTGTCAACAAAAGCTTTCAAAGAGGAAGAACAGCCGACGACCTCCCCGAAACTGCAAAGGGAAGCCGATGTCACGTCCCCGCCACCTACTACGTCACAAGTTAGTAATATTGCACCGTTAATTTTGATACATAATAAAATAGCTTTAAAAACAATAATTTGTAATTAAAATAAAAAATAGACAAGTTAATTTATAATTAATTGCAATTTCATTTCTTTGCTTTTCTATTAACAAAAAATATTTAGAAACCAAACAAATAAATTTTGTTTTGATATAAAAAAAATTATTAATTATTTATCTGTACGAGCAGAGCGTGTCGAGCCAGTGCGGCGGCGGCATGCTGGCGGCGCTGGTGGCGGAGGCGGGCGGGGACGCGCCCGTCGTGTTCAGCGACGAGCTCAGCGGCGCCGACACCGCCGCGCCCGCCGCCGCCGCGCCGCACGGCCGCCTGCTGCTCGACGACGACAACTCGCACACCGCCTGCCTCGGTGCGTGCGCGCAAGCGTGTTTGTGTCGAGTTAAAGGGAGATACATTTCACATACAATACGGTCATGGATGACTTGGACCTCATGTAACAAAATGTGTGGCGAAATACAAGTTATAACTTTAGTAAGCACAAAATAGCAATTCCTCGCTGGCTCACTCCGGTCCCGTCCGCAGTGGAGCTGGTGAACTCGCAAGTGGTGCTGAAGGGGTGCGAGACGCGCGGCTACGTGATGGTGTGCGCGGCGCGGGCCGAGGTGCGGCAGCGGGTGAGCCGGCCGCCCGCGCCCGCCGCGCGCGCCTGGAGCGGCTCGCTGTCCGCCATGCAGTACTACGCCACGGTGAGCGCCGCCGACAACCACCGGCTGGACCACCACATCCAGTGGGTGGGGGTGGAGGAGATCGAGGAGCGCTGCCCGGAGATCAGCGCGCTGCCGGACGTGCCGCGGCTGGTGGGCAGCGGGCACTCTGCGGGCGGCGTGATCGGACGCACCGTGGGGCCCAGCGCGGCCGCGGCGCAGCTGCAGCGCATCGTGTCGCGCTGCGCCTGCGAGTTCCACTACGTGTCGCTGGAGGACGCGCCGCACGCGCCCGCCGCCGCGCCGCACCCCTACGACTCCTTCTCGCTCATGCACCACGACCTCGACGTCTGCACCAACTCGCTGCAGGTACGCTGCTCTCAGTGAACATACTGCTACGCGCTGGGGTTCGGGGTAAATAAAAAATATTCTACCGAGTTACAAGTTAACACTGTATTAGCACTTAGAACACTTAAAACACTCAACAAACACTTCAAAACGCTCAATTCGCTTCTTCCGCTTCGCTTCAGGTGATCCGTTCGCTGTTTCGCTTCGAGTAGTTCCGATTACTAACTAACTGCGTGCCATCTCTGCAACGCTTCTATAGTCGAAACGAAATCCCTAGAATCGTCGAGAATATTCCACACATTTCGAGTATTGTGTTTCCGCTATCTGACAACAGATGGCGTTGTACTTCTCGAGCGTTCTAGATGTAGTATAGGAGCGTCTTATACTACACTTTCCGTGGGCGCTGTAAGATTACTAAGTCACAGGAGAGTTGATAGCCGGCTTGTCTGAGTATTACACCTGCACACTGCGATTACCAACTGGCATTTACCGGCGGCACGGGGCATCTTAATCCTCATGGGCATAGAACTCATCTTCCTCTATGTAGTGACAGCGGGTGTATATCGGGATACAAACACATCTATTTCTGAGAACAATAATAAAATTAAACACTTTATTTAGCTTCTATGTAAAAAACAAATACCTCTACACTCTTACTTGCCGCTTACTCTCCACAATGACTGACAGTGTTAAAAGAAATAATAAAAAACAGTTTAATTGCGTCACCAGTACGCGATGCTGCTGGACGTGGTGAACAACGTGGTGCTCCACGTGGAGCCGGAGCGGCGCCGCACGCTGGAGCGCCGCGCCAGGATGCGGTTCCAGCTGCAGCTGCACCAGGACCAGGACCCGCGCCAGCAGATACACAAGCTGCAGACGCAGGTACCGGCGCGCGCACTAGCCGACACCCACCAGCCAAATACATAAGTGCCAATGTCGCCTGGTTACCGGAGCCCGTAGACATCTACAACGTTTGGCTTAGACAAGTTCTCTCTCTGGAGAATTGTATTGAAATTTACCACACAGCAGTCAACGGCTTACTGGTGGTAGGACCTCTTGTGAGTCCGCGCGGGTAAGTACCACCACCCTGCCCATTTCTGCCGTGAAGCAGTAATGCGTTTCGGTTTGAAGGGTGGGGGCCGTTGTAACATTACTTGAGACCTTAGAACTTATATCTCAAGGTGGGTGGCGCATTTACATTGTAGATGTCTATGGGCTCCAGTAACCACTTAATACCAGGTGGGCTGTGAGCTCGTCCACACATCTAAGCAATAAAAAACAAAAAAGTTTGATGAGTGTTCGCATACAAAGCACTGAATTATGCTATGTTGAGTGATACTTTAATAAGTAAGAAAGGGAACACTGACACATAAAGTAAGTTTGTGTGATTTATTTTATATTTTGTTATTGCTTTTGTGCTCATTATAACGACATTTTGCACGTTTGCTCGGACGCACAGTTTATTCTCGTCAATGATTTCTTTCAAATAGCGTCTACAGACATAAACAACAAATGAATCTTATTCATAGTATCATAATTTGTATAGTTCTACCGAGACAAAACTATTTATACTTTGGTTGACACAGAAAAAGCAGTATAAAAAAATAAATTTTTAATATTTTAACATAATACAATAATGAAATTGAAGGAAAATTTTAAAATTTGAAGTTCCCACAACACTTTATCCAATGCTCTTCGGGAAACAATGATGCGAGTATTTCTAACAAAATATGTGAAATAAAAAAAGGAAATGGAAAATTGGATTTGTAATTTGTGAAGTAAGGTCCAGATATGTGAAGAATGATTTTATGAAAATAAGATAAGGGCCTTGACACATTAAACACGAGAAAATGGCAAAAAGTTCTCTCCGGCGGGGAATCGAACCCCGGTCTCCCGCGTGACAGGCGGGGATACTGACCACTATACTACCGAAGATTCTGTCCTCCGTTGCAAAATTATCAACTGCTTGTCTAGAATTTGTTCTTGTTTTATTTTCTTACATTCTATTAAAAACCCTAAATAAATTTACAAATGGCGTTCATAGATCATTACATGTTACTGTTTTATACGTACCATAATAATAAAACATATTTAGAACATTGATAACACTAGTGGTCGCCCAGCGGTCGAAATTCGACCAAAATTAATTTAAATTATAAGTTTGAACATTAATAAGGATCTATTGTCAAAGTCTATCATGGACTTCTATATTAACAGATTTCGCCAAGGCTGCACTATAGATAAATATAATAAGACAAACACTATTAATCTGTTCTTAATTTGACAAGAGGCTTAACAATAAACAAAAGAGTAAATAAATGTATGCGAGTAATGCGTTTCGGTTTGAAGGGCGGGGCAGCCGTTGTTACTATACTGAGACCCTAGAACCCATATCTTAGGGTGGGTGGCGGCGTTCACATTGTAAATGTCTATGGGCTTTGGTAACCACGTAACACCAGGTGGGCTGTGTAATCGTCCAACCGTTCATGCATTAAAAAAAAAACATGGTAGTGTGTGTCACATTTTTTAATTGATTTAATGAACTTTTAAGGCAATAATTAAAAAAAAAAGGTTTCTGCCCTCCTTTTCTATTTAATTTCTTACTCCTCCGTCCGCGCAATGTTCGTAAAAAGGGGCACAAAATTTTTGCTTCACGTATTAATATATAGATTACGTAAAATACCTAAATTTAATAAGAATATTTACTTAAATTGTAGAATGTTCCTTAGTTCGATGTGTTTTCTGGCATAGTCCTCTTCCAACTGATTTGTTTGTTTCACACCCTACTAAAATAAAATGTATTATTTCTTTACAATAGAAATATAAAAGGAGATTAGTCTTTATACGATAATAACTTTAAATTATTGATTTTAGAAAAAGTATCGATTCAGTACGAATAGTTAATTGGTTAAAAAGGACTTTAAAACTATTTTTAAATTACTAAAAAAGTTCTCTCCGGCGGGGAATCGAACCCCGGTCTCCCGCGTGACAGGCGGGGATACTGACCACTATACTACCGAAGACCTTGCGAATTCGTTTGAAATTGAATGGTACATGCGTGTATTTACTTTTAGCAAAATAAAAGTAATTTATAACTGAAGATAAGTTATCACGATTTTGGTACAGAATGTTTTTGTATTGACAAGAACTTAAAATATTTTTTATGTTATCAGTCTTTCAAAATTATCTTTCGTTTTAAATCTGGATATTTAAATTTAATTTGTATAAACTACAAATACTCGTGTTATTTAGCCAAAAGAAATTCGACTTTAGGCACAGATTCAGTAAGTTCATTGTACATAGTCCATCGATATTATTACAATGTGACGTTTTTTTAGTGTACATGATGATTTAGAAAATTCGACATTATAAATATATAAAGACTCACTATGGAACTGTGTTCAATATTATGTCTGAGGGCGGATTTTAAAACGAGCTTTCGAATGATGATGAAATAAAATATTTGTAAATTTACATAGTAAAATATATTATCGTTGTAAAAATATTGACCAATGGGAAAATCGTCATGGGTTCATCAGTTGTTTCGAAATGTCTGTGAGACATTGTTTTTTCACTTGTGGTGGGACCTCTTGTGAGTCCGCGCGGGTAGGTACCACCACCCTGCCTTTTTCTGCCGTGAAGCAGTAATGCGTTTCGGCTTGAAGGGTGGGGCAGCCGTTGTAACTATATTTGAGACCTTAGAACTTAAATCTCAAGGTGACTGGCGCATTTATATCGTAGGTGTCTATGGGCTCCAGTAACCACTTAACACCAGGTGGGCTGTGAGCTCGTCCCCCCATCTAAGCAATAAAAAAAAGACATTACGATTGTAACGTCCGTCTTTGTTTTAATACTAAATTCTTAATTTGTTATAGGTATGTACTACATACATGTAGCATAATATCTTGCAAATAATGTTTGTACAGCCGTCTTGACACCTGTCTAAACATCACTCCGATGTGACAATGGAGGATAACTTAAAAATATTACTAACATCAGTATGTACTATGAATAGAAAATTTTATATTTTATCTTATACTAAAATGATGGTAGGACGTCTTGTGGGCCCGCGTGGGTAGGGACCACACCTTTCTGCCTATTTCTGCGTTGAAGCATCTTGCTTCGAAAGCTGGAACAGTTAAATTACGATGTAATTGAAAATTCGTCCTACTAGCTACTAGCTCCAGTAATTTCCGGTGGCTGATCGTAGTACCCTGGTACAATACTCAGAGAAAACTGTCGTCCACTCCTCAGTGAATCTCTCAATCGCCTTACGAATCGGAAGGGACTGGGGCGGTGCTACACTCGGTCATATCTCTCTGCGTCCTCCAACTTTCCAAGAAAATGTGGTCATCTTATTTATTAAAAAAAATTTTTTCTACCTATGCTCATAGCCTTGAGATGCTATTTCAACTTCACCCTAACGTGTGTAGGTGAGCTCACGGGGATCAAACCGGAGTGTTGCTAACACTGACCCTAGCAAGGCCAGTGCTTCGCAGAATCTACCACCGGATCGGAAACGCGACCCACTGAGAAGATCCGGCGAGAAACTCAGTGGGCTGTATCTATGGGTTAATTCTAAAAACAGTGACCATGAAGTGTACAGGTTTCGTTAAGACTTGATGTAGCGTTGACCAGCGGCCTCATGCTTCAGTTTTTCGCTTCAATGGTCGTTGCAACATTCATGTCGTTACGCTGTTTATTTTGACTATTTAAAATACTTATCCAAGTAACGTAATAATATTATTTTGACGATGGTGATGGGGTGTGTTTACTTTTGTTTATAAACTAACATTAAATTTTATTATTGATAGTTGACTCCCGCGATGTTACCCGCGGTTATTGTCGTACCGCGGGTGACACCGCAGGGCGAAGCTAGTCTTAAAAAAAGTAGCCTAAGTTACCCCTTATAGCATCAGCTACCTATCAGTGAAAGTCTCGTCAAAATCGGTTCAGCCGTTACGGAGATTAGCCGAAGCAAACAGACAGACAGACAAAAATTGTAAAAAATGTTATTTTGGTGTATGTGCCGTATATATATTAATATGTAGTAAATACGTAGTATATGTAGTAAAAAGCGATTATTTCAATATTACAAACGGACACTCCATTTATATGTATAGATTTAGAATAATGCCGAAGAAGACTCTTACCAATTTTACGAATGCTTTGTTCAGGTGAGAGAGTCTCTGGCCAGACTGCGTCGATTGGAGAAGGAGTACTATTTGAAGAACAGGTCCATAACGGGAAACGATCCTGGCGCTGTTGCGGAACTGAAGAGCTTGGACGATCAGGTACGGAACAGTTTTGTTTCATTTGTACAAAACTATAGAAGACGTTTAAGGATTGGTAAATAGTGTTTCCAGCAGTTTCCCGTGGTCTTCTGTATAGTCTACTGGTGGATGAGGGTTTCAAACTGGTCATGCTCATTTGCTGTTTGTGTTCATAGTGCACCTGGTGTTAATTGGTTGTCGAAGTGACGGTAGCTACCCGTCAGAGTGACAATACGCTCAATCAGCAGAAATTACGTAAATGTATAAATTTTGTGGATATCTTTTTTATTTATTTATTTTTATTTATTTATGTACACACAGAAAAAAAAGACATAGTACAGAGTAATAGGAAAATTATGTACAAAGGCACTGCTTATTTCTTTAAGAAATCTCTTCCAGCAGACCTGCGAGAGGATAATGAGAATAATAATAAAAAGTGATAAGTACTTCTTCCGTCCGTTAAGTACGAAGTTCATTACAAAAATGTGCACCTCCCTGAAGGGATCGAATCCCGGCACAGTCAGTCGCTCGATACGTTTACACCGGATACTTCGGTCTGTAGGCATCATTGATTTCAAAATATCGATCGGTCGTAAAAGCTTACTGTGGTTTTTTTGTGGTGGTCAATTTGTGGTTGGCCGTCCACCCATCTGAGCTATAGGATACGCGATGAGTAGGCACGCGGCGGGTTGCTGCAGGTGAACGAGTGCAAGGAGTGCGTGTGGTCGCTGGGCGAGGAGCTGGAGGCGATGGTGCGCGCGGCGCGGGAGCTGCGGCGCGAGGTGCCGGCGGGCGCGGCGCCGCACCGCTACAACGAGATCTGCTTCAAGAGCGCGCGCTGGCGGCTCACCGACGCCGACGGACAGCTCGGCATCGCCGACCTGCTGCTCACCAACTTCCTGTGAGTTGTCTGCGCCCGCACCCTTACAATCAAATATTTCTTGCGTGTAATTCAGGTTTCAATTGATATAATGAGGTAAGAATCTCATTGAGTAGGATAATATAGTTTTTCATTGAGTAGGATAATATTATACAAAAACTAATTGGCTAGTTGATTCACAGAGTATAATTTATTAATGTGTTTATTATTTATTAGTGTTAATATTTATTCACAGAGCATAAAAGATTATAAATGTTTAAAATTATTGCAATTAAATGGGAATATGGTCTTGGAATGATGACTTTCTTAGGCACAATACAATATATTGTTGTCGCAGATCGGCTGCGTACGATTAGATTTTGTAAGCTAAAAATTCAATTCAACATACAACTTGTGTGGATAAATGAACATTTTTTTTACAAATGTGAAAATAACATTTGCGATTGAATAGTTTCTTTAAAGAAAAGGTATATGATAATAATTGATGTGAAATAATCAATTTAGTTTTTAAAAACAACAAAAAGTTCTCTCCGGCGGGGAATCGAACCCCGGTCTCCCGCGTGACAGGCGGGGATACTGACCACTATACTACCGAAGATTGTACTAGCAGTCTCGAAATTTTGATATACTTATTAAAACTAAATAAATAATTATCTATACTTCTATACTAATATATTAATCTACAGTGGTTTTTACGGATGTTCCGTTATAACTACTGAACCGTGCATCCGATTGACTTGAAACTTGGTATCCATGTAGAAAATGCATGTACTTAATGGATAGGCTAATATTTATATGAGTGTTGGACTCCCTAATAATAATGACAATAAACAATAATGTTAACTTTAAATGCCCAGCGAAGCGGGCGAGTACGGTTAGTTGTTTATATTATTATGTACATGACATCAATAATATTTTCAACAATTTTTAACAAACGAAATATTGATACACTATGTATAGTTAAAGTTGTTAATGTGATTTGGAGTTTTTAAATTTTTTTTAATTTAAAGGAATTTGGAATTTTGATTTGGTTTGTTGTATATTTCAATAATTTTCACTGTTAAAAGTTTCTTTCATAAAAAAGTCTGAACGTGTGCCTCTCCAGGTACACGAAGACGTCTCGTTCCGACGACTCAGTGGAGCACCAGCTGGAGGTTGGCTACGTCAGCGTCAAGAATCTGTTACCCAACGAACCCTTTCCAGAGGTCAGAGACCTTGAAACATATATTTACTTCATATAAGAATATTATATTGTATTAATTAATAGTATAATAATTAATACTATTATATTAATTTCATATACTAACTTTGAAATTTTAAATGAGAAGTTTGTTCACTATCAACGCTGTCATTAGTGGATAGCGAATTGAATTTGTTGTTGTAAGAGGTGCTGCCCGGCCACACGGAGGTAGCGCCCCCTAGCAGCAGAGTGTAGCGGGTGCGCGGTGGTGTGCAGGTGCTGGTGCCGCAGGAGCCCTCGGGCCGCGCCCCGCTGGCCCGGCGCGCCGCGCTGCGCGTGTTCTGCCGCGACCGCCCGCCCGTGGGAGGCATCGCCGTCAAGGAGCACTTCGAGGTCAACATCGTGCCCATACGGATCGGTGAGCCCTCTCCCTCCCACTCGCGGTCGCGCTGCGAGCCAACACCTGAATACGTATTCTACTTATTTCTGCCGCGAAGCACTCATGCGTTTCGGATTAAACGCTCACATGACGTCATCCAACACAATTGCGACTTCGTGCTTCGAGATCCCATGCTCATTAATCGGCAACGTTTCATAATCTTCATCATTAGAACACAGTCGTTCACTGCTGGTTATAGGCCTATCCCAATCCACTTTTACTTCGTGACAAAAAAAAAAACTAATTCAATTTGCATAGCTAAAATAAATAAATATAACAAACGAAATTTTTGGAAATTATACACTTAATTTTTTTTGGAAAATAAAATGCAAAAAAATCCTCTCCGGCGGGGAATCGAACCCCGGTCTCCCGCGTGACAGGCGGGGATACTGACCACTATACTACCGAAGACTGTGTTAAGACCGTCGAAATTATAGAACACTTTGTATGTACTTTTGTTTTGAGTCCTACGTATTTCACGCACCGCGCGGGCAGGGCTGCAATCAGTTCACTCGAAATAGAATTATGCTATTCAAAGTCCTATGGATCCGTTGTTGTTTTGTTTGTATCTTCTCGATATCTATTAAATAATATAGGAAATAATTCTACCCTTTAATATATGTAATTACCAAAATGGTTTATTTTTATTAAATAGCGTTGTGCATTCGCCAGGCCTTACAAAGAAGTTCTTCAATACGATGCTGAAGTTCTGTTTCCCTGAGCGAGACCCGGACTCCATAGACGAGGCGGAGGACGAGGAGGGCGCGCCCAGGCCCTCCACCGGGCTCGTCTCCACCGGCTCCAAGAAACTCAAGAAGAAGGCCAAGGACTACAACTCCAACTTCTACGTCAAACGGGACAATAAAGATAAAGACGACGTCGAGAAGATGAAGGTGATTATATGTAGACGATAAACGTTTTACGAGATGTTTAAGTTAATGGTTCATTAATTACTGGCCGACCCTCGCTCCGATCGCCACATTTTTTTTTATTGCATAAGTGGGTGGACGAGCTCACAACCCACCCGATGTTAAGTGGATACTGGAGCACATAGACATCTACAACGTAAGTGCCGTCACCCACCTTGAGATATGAATACTAAGGTTTCAATATAGTTACAACGGCTGTCCCGCCCTTCAAACCGAAATGCATTATTATATTATTATTGCTTCATGGTAGAAATAGGCAGAGAGGCACAAGAGGTCTTACCACCAATAATAAAACATGTGTAAACATCCCGGGCGTCTGTTGTCCAGGAGCGTGCAGAGAAGAACAAGCTGTTCATCTACATCAAGATCCCGGAGGTACCCGTCCGCGTGTCGTACAAGGGCAGCAAGGAGAAGAACCTGGAGGACGTCCGCGACCTGCCGCTGGTGCTTCCCACGCTCGAGTACCACAACGTCACCTGGACCTGGCTCGACCTGCTGCTCGCCACCAAGAACGACACCAGGAGGTCATTCTTCACTTGCCCGTCGCGATACGTGTCATAATGATGTTGGAGTGTGTCGCTAACGTGGCCCCGCTCCCGCAGGGTGATCCTGTCGCAGGCCATCCGGCAGAAGCTGCAGCTGCACCGGCGCGCGGCCGCCGCCCCCGAGCCGCTGGAGGAGGACAAGGCGCGCCTGCTGCTGGGCGAGCGCACGGTGCGACCCCTGCACGCCCCTACACCTGGCCTTAGCCCCACACAAACTGACCTTTGATAAACAAACAAAATTGTTACAATCATTTCTACAAAAACAATTTTAATTCAAACTGTTGATAAGATAGTTAGAACGGATAATAACTCAATATTTTTTTCTGTCATTGTGCGTTTTAGCTACATTACGTATTACGCTAAAAATAAATCACAAAATTAATTATGTTTTCGTTTTCCGTTGAAGGTCGCCGAGAACAAACCCCAGAAGAAGAGCACACCGAGCGTCTTCAAGTTTTCCAAATCGTAACTGGTATAATTTGTTATGTTAGATATATTATATTTACAAAAAAAAAAAAACTATGGCAATCATGTTTATTGAGAACATCAATTTATTTACAAAACTTAATCAAATTCAATTCGATCATGTATTAATTATATAATATATAAAAATAATATTGTTAAGAAAAAAATGACTGCACAAGACTTGAGGAAGGCGTTTCTTAGATTAACAGCAAATTTCTCAGTTAACCGCAGCTCGAGGTTGAGACGTGGACCCTTCGTGAAGACTTCTCCATCAATCAATTATATAGGTTATCTTCTGGCTCTGCCTTATCAACGATTGAGTTCTGACGATATTTCGTCACGCCGTAAAAGTGTGACGAGCGAAGGGACGTGCTTTATGTAATAGCAACATTTTAGTTTTCACATGTAAGTACATAAAAACGAATTTTCAACGAACGAATATCCATTTTATTTATTTTCATTTTATTTTTAAGGTTTCATATTGTTATGACTGACGAACGGATCTCGAGAATAAAGTATTTGGGATTATAATTTTGATTGAAATAAGGAATTTTAACCTTCGGCTATTTAGAATGCTGACACAGGCCGTTATACATTGCCGCGTCTAACTTAATTTGTTTAGTGCTTTCTTTAAGATTTCACGAATCGCAAACTTGATTTATCAGTGTATATCATTTTAATCTTTATTGCAGTAGATATCGGTAACTGGTGATTTAATCAAGCGTTTAATGTTTAAACTTATTAAATATGTGGCATTAAATACACTTTTTATCTGACACAACATACCCACAAGCTTCGAAGAGGTCGAAAGAAACTAGCAGGCCAACACTTAATATTTAGCTTACTTATATTTACAAAAGTATAATATTTATAAGACGTTTGTAAAGACAATCTCTAATAAAGACGAAATTTTAGTTTAAGAATATATTACAATTAAGTACGCAGGTTTCCTAGAGAATCAATAGTTAAGTTGGTTAAGAAATGTGATGTGAGATTTTTTGACAATTTATGCTGTTCGATAATTCACAGACGATTTAATGTAATTAATACTAATGAATTTTTTTAATAAATAAAATAGTTTTTATTTTATTGCAATATTTGCGACCGACGGAGCTGTCTGCCTTCAACTATCGTGTTTTTATTTGTTTTTACTGATTACGGCAGTCCGGAGATATCGCAACCCGCACACGGCCTCAGGGTAGGAGCTCGTCATGGTCTCAATAGCCTTGCAATAGCATAGTAGCTGCCCCGCTGTTCGAATCAGAACGTGCGTACTTTGCGACTGAAACTGACTAGTGGCTTTTGTCCACCTCAAAAAAAAATCCCTACTGCACATAATAATATTTTGTGTAGTGTTTACTCTGCACTGCCTTTGGTTGACTGGTAGGGAATGCCCTAGGCACTAAGTCCGCCAATGTAAATTTTACATGAAGTGTGACATATAAATAAATAATATATATTTTTTCTTAACACATTGACTGCCGTGTAGGTCACCGGTGCCCTACGCGGCGCACTGAAATAATTATATCAATTTCTGTTACTAGGCGTCTGGATTGCCTAAATTTGCCTTTTGTTTGTTAGTGTATGTTTTAGTCTGTTAGGTATCTCAGAAATAGATTCATTCTCAGAATCTTCGGATTCGTCTTTCCTAGAGTTTAGTAGATATTCTGGCGCCTTAAGATGAAGATCGAAGAGAGAAATTGACATAATTATTTCCGTGCGCCGCGTAGGGTACCAGGGAACTACATGACAGTCAACGTGTTAATCAATGAAAAATGTTTATCTCAGGAAGGATCTCTATGAATATAGGTATCACCTTAAATGGTGCCTCATACTAACAACGTATCTAAGCCAAACAAAAATGCCATGAAATAACATAGACTCAGGATGATCTTTTCAATTTCATAGTGTTATGCACGCTGTGGATTCATTTGGTCGACGAGGTCGATGACCTGTTCTAAGAATACTGCCAAATATTGACATTCCGTACAATCTGTGTTTAACTAATAAAATATTTGCTATTTTGCGTACATTGTGGGTTGAACAGTTGTGTATCGAGACTCGTAAAATTTTCGTACCGGCTTTTGGTATTCACTATTTCAGTTCCATCAAGACGTGGCCTTTTTCTGAATTAGATATGACTTTATTAATTAAAAAGGTCAAAAATAAAATCAAAATGGCGAGTTAGAGACTAAGAGTTTTGTTTTCATTTAAGGCGATATTGTCATGTCTGTCCTTTAAAAGCAAAAAGTTTCTAACACCTATAATTACTTCTTATTGCTGCTGCTTCCATGACCACTCCTTATCAGATGTAGCGGTCTTCATTCTGCGGTGTGTACTTTCTTATATTTAGCCAAACAACTATTAACATAATCACGCACAAATGCTGCCGGGAGGTTAATCAGTATCTTTTTAGGTTAAGTTTGACAGATAAAAATATTGAAGTATGTTAATGTTAAGCATGTATTTTGATATATACGTTATTAAATAAATTAAAAATGATTTTCATTATATAAAAAAATTGTCTCATTTCTGGCACCCTGTTGTTTGTTTTTAGAGTGTTAGCTTCCCAAAGTCGATGGCCTATCGGAAATTAATGTAAATTTATGTAAATAACTAAAACAACTTTAAGGGCACGATCTAATGCGATGACTACAATACCAAATATGGTGTCTATTCCCACGTGATTTTATTAGTCTCATCAAATCGATTTTTATGGCAGAATTTAAAGGAATGTCTGGATTCTGGGATATCGGTAATTTGCTGAATGCTAATGCCTTCATTAGCTGAATTGGGCAGACTTAAGTTCTATCTCGTAATAAATGATTATTAGAGAAATTTATTGTACTGCAAAAAGCAATCAATTACAAACAATAGTAAAATATATCAATAGGTTGGTCTTATCGTTTGAAGTGATTTAATTCAAAAAAAACTAGACCGCATCTTCTTAAGGTTTTATTTTGAACCATGTCACAAGGTTTGCATTATAGAATGTAAAGAATAAAAAATAAATTATTCGTACGTTATTTTTTAAGGTTCGGGCTAGGAATAACCTTTTTATTTTTTATTGCTTAGATGAGTGGACGAGCTCACAGCCCACCTGGTGTTAAGTGGTTACTGGAGCCCATAGACATCCACAACGTAAATGCGCCACCCACCTTGAGATATAAGTTCTAAGGTCTCAAGTATAGTTACTACTAAAACTGATCTTCTTTTTGGAAAACGTTCCAATAGACCGTGTATTGGCGACGACGTATTTCTACTAAATTTATCTATTGTTCATTCTAAGAACTTTTTTTCAGACATTTTGTATAATTGGTCACAAGTTTAGAATAAATATGTATTATAAATTTGATTATTTCTTTATTACCAATATTTTAAATAATTTCTGCGAGCCCCTTAAATATTAAACGCATGCGGCCCGCGTGCCTTGGTCCAAACCGAACAAAAATCCGCCCTGATATGAGTCGTCTATTATCAAAGGTGGCAATCTGTACATTTGGACAAAAATTTTTTATTGATATGTCAATACAGATTTATTTGAATATAATCGTCTCCTTCAAAGAATACGGTTCAAAACCTGCATTAAATAAAGGTTAATAGTTAACCTGTTATTTATCTAAGATGTCGTTCCGAAGAGTTTTGTGACTGCCAATGGAATACAAAGTCAATAATTCGTTTTTCTGATTTACCAATCATTGTCCAAAAGTCAGATTGCCGCCTTTGATAATAGTCGACTCATATAATGAATAAGCTATATCTGATATTTTTAAGACAAGACGTTCGAAGATAAGCAAGGAAAAATAACCGATACTAAAGTATTTTATTTTAAAAGCGGCAAAACTACTTACTTACGGCAAAACTACTTACTTACTATGTAACTCTACTTGAGACCTTAGAACTTAGGTATATCTCAAGTCGTTGATGTCTATGGGCTCCAGTAACCACTTAACACCAGGTGGGCTGTGAGCTCATCCACCCATCTAAGCAATAAAAAAAACATAATTACTTTTTACACGAATTCTTATAACACGATTACTATTAGGTATATAGTGTATGCTTAATAGTCTCATCCATTGGTATCATAGATTTTCGATTATAATTATTATTATAGATGTTTAAATTAGGCTAGAATCTTCGTAATACCATTTTCAATGTAGTTTTAATTAAGAATCAACGAGATTATTTTATTATTAAACGTCAAATGTACAACTGCCTTAACATTGTTTTAGACCAGTGGTTCCCAAACTTATTTTGTCTACTGCCCACTTTAAGAATAAATTATTTTTTAGCGCCTCCAATTTTTTCTACCTAGTTAAAAGCCACTATAGCGAGAGCTCAGTCGTGGCGAAGAGTCTTTCTAGATGAAATTAAAAATCGCCTCCCAAGCCTCTACACAACGCCCTCATTTTTTTCCGGGTCTCTTACCGCCCCCCATTAGGCCTGCAGCGCCCACAAGGGGGCGTTATCGCCCACTTTGGGAAAGACTGTTAGACGAAAACTATCAACGGACGTTGGCACAGTAAACTGGTAGTAATTGCACCTTGATCATGATTAAACAACAGATAGCTCAATTCACAGCGTTAAGCTTCAGGCGATTTCAATTTGCAATTATTATGATTTTAATAATCAAACGTTAACTTTATTTAAACGAAGGCAGGCAACGGCTAGGCTCTACCCCTGGCATTGCTGAAGTTCATGGGCGACGGTAACCACTCACCATCAGGTGGACCGTATGCTCGTCTGCCTACAAGGGCAATAAAAAAAAAACGAAGTGAGTAAAAAAAAAAAAGAGTATGTAATAACATGAGAAGAAAGCAAAAATTTTAATTCGATTGAGCTTGCTTCGCCGGTTTTGTTCCGGAGTCGGGCTTATTTTGCGTGTGAAAACTAAGTATGAACTTTTCAAAATTAAATATTTTCACATTCAACAAGTGGACGATATTTAGATCGTGGGGCATGGGATATATTGATGAGAAAACATTAAATTAAAATAAATATACCTACTATTAAATTACTTAATTAAGCTTAGTTCCATTATTTCATGTTTCCCGAATTCTACAATATGCTAATTTGCAGAATAAGTTTGGAAATCCTCAGCGATATAGCGGTAGTTTGTTTATGCCTTTGGCATCGCCTATGTTCGTGAATGGTAATAGTAATTACTGACCGTCGGATTGATCTGTATGCCTTATAAGAAAATAAAAAAAATATCTGATCTGATCACATTCATTGGTACCTACATACTGTTTTATTTGTAGGATTTCTTTTCGATTCTCTAACAGATTTAAAATAAGAAGGGCAAACATTATTCAGCTCCATTAAACAATTTTTATTTTCACATAAACAGACCATCGGCGTGTTGAGTACAGTTTGGTGGTTTAAAATCGATACATCGTAATCGATACTTTTAACAAATATCGATATGATATGTTGCGACATTAATTGTAATTCCGAGTAATTTTGACACAGTATACCTAAGCGGCTGACCGCAAGCTATAATGCTGCGGCCTCGCTCATACACACTACGTAGTCTTCAGGCACTAGTAGCGGGCAGCCGCACGGTTGCCATGCGCATTGTGCGTTTAGTATCCGGCTGCCCGCCGTTGAGTCAACTTGTGTGTATAGAGTCACAAATGGATTTCGATACAGAAAAATTTATTACTGAAGTCCAAAGTCGACCACCAATTTGGAACACGAAATGCTTAGAGCATTCTGATAGAGTCGCAAAACAAAAAGCATGGGAGGAATTGGCGACAGTTTATGGTGCCGGCTTATCAACGGAGAAAAGGAAACAGCTTGGTAAGAACGTGAATTACTGACTTGTAAACGATCGCCTTGTTGGACTAGTGGTTAGTGAACCTAACGGCTATTCGTATCACGAGGTCCCGGTTCGAACGCCGGTTGGTAAAATGTTGTTGGCATTCGGAGACTGGGGATACTTGTTACCGAGAAAGTGAACCCTTCCGTTTTGGTACTGATTCGCCACCGTGAACTTGGAAGCAGGTGACTGTCTTGTTGATCCGGTTCAAATTGAACAGCGAAGTAGAGGTTGCGGGGTTCGCTCACGCACTGTAGCGTATCGCAAAGGACACCGACCGAGATGGACAACGTAGAGTCGTTTTTGTCAATGGCTGCGCCGGTCAGACGATCTTGGAGTGGCCACGTGTTTGGTTGTAGTGTTGACCGTAACCCTTTCTTGTATCTCCCCTGGTTCTGTCTTGGATAGCACTCGCATACTCTGCAGAAAAGTCGCTTAAGTTGACTCCCTTAAACAAAGCTTTCCTAAGGTTATGAATGAGATGTTAAGAGGTACCATGTACTGTTGTTTCCTGAAATGTTTTCGAGAAAAGCAACAGTAACTAAAATTTGCTTTTTTGGAAAAATCATTTGTAATTTGAATTCGCTTTATTCTCGGTCAGTTCTTGTAGACATGTTTTAATTAGTTATAATATAATCATATACATTATATTATGTAATATAAAATACGAAGTAAATAAAATAAGTTGTTTTTTCCTCAGTTTTGAATCTTCAGAAAAAATGGAGAAATATACGGGATTCTTTCGTGAAGGCCCACAAAGCTAAAAGAACGAAACGAGGTTCGGCCGCAAAAAAGAAAGTACCGTACATATTCTATGAAAAACTATTGTTCTTAAAGGATGCGTTATTTGTTAACAACACGAACTTGATATTTAGTTCTGAAATAAATAGTGAGAAAGCTACGCACCATGCTGACACACCGCAGAGTACTTCACGGGCGCAGGAGAGAAGTTGTGGAAAGAAAAGCGATGACCTTGTTGGTGCAGAGTTCGTCGACTTAAACAGAAATTTAGAGAACAAGAATGTTGAAAATGACGACGACCGTCTCTTTTTCTTGTCTCTGGTGAAAGAATTTAAAAAAATACCGGACCATATGCAAATTCAAACGAAACTAGATCTTTTAAAGGTCATAAGGGACGCTCAGTTTTCTGACTGCCTAAACACATCGTGGGAATATACGAGCCCTAATAACTACTTTGGATATCAAATCGAAAACAGTTCGAGAAGAAATCCTTACACTATACCTATGCACTCGACAGATGATATCATAGACAGTCCGGTACATGTCCAATCACCTTTATCGACCGACAGCCAAAACTCTCAGGACAGTGAACAAGATTCTTGAACACGTATTTAGATAGACTTTATTAATTCCATTTTGTTCTATTGCAAAAAATATGTACCTTACCTTTATAAATAAGTATTAAATGTTTTGTTTGCTATTTTGTTTTTATATACACACGGCTCACCTTAACTTAAGCGGTCCACACCATGCAATCCTAAAAACAGAATGATGCTACCTTCTGTTACTGTATATTCATAGTACTAGATAGGTGTGTTTGGACACAAAATATTCTTCACGGTCGATGTGTCTGGCGGTTCTTACTTTAAGCGTTAGGAAATCGCGTCAAGCTTCATTTGTTAAATATTGTCAAAGTGATTTATTATTGTTCTCACTTGTTGCCACTGCTACCAGTATTCTTTATCTAACTGCTTAGTTTGAGAGAATTATGTTTGCAATTGTGTCGAATCGGAATGCGAGGATACATAGTAGAGGAATGTAACGAATATGCCAATCATTATCTCTGTTCGAAAGAGAAACAAGTCGGCATGCGTAATAGGGGTACCTACGTAATGATCTTGACAAATAAACATTTGAGATAATATCCTTCGGAGTTGATATGGATTTTGAAGGGCAAATTTGAATTATTTTCAAATAACGTGACGTAATAGATCGGTAAAGTTGACGTCAGCAATGTCATCGGTAAGGTGGTCGGTTTTACGCAATTTTGTCAGGTCATTTTTTATTTTTTTTCATTAGCTCAGACAGCCGGAAGGTCCTGACCAACTTGAGAATAAGTGGTCATCAGAGCCCATACATATCCTTTCGAGCTGAGATTGAATTTAGAATATCTTACAATTTCCTTAAAACAACAAAATATGCAAAACCTACAAAATAAACGGAGGCTAATTCATCATAGTTTTTAATCATACTAAATGTTAGCTTCTTTTTTTTTCCCTACCTAAACTCACTGGGCTCTAACCGGGAGTGTTGCTAACACTGGCCCTAGCAAGAGCAGTGCTTCGCAGAATCTATGGGTTGTGTCTATGGGTTAATTCACTCGTAGAGCCCTTCATCGCATGTTAGCTTAAGTAGCTAGCTGTCCTATGCAGCGAAGCATGGTACGGCTTCTGCCGAATGTGTCGGTGTTTGCTACGCGGCCGTTCTCGAATACTGTTCTCCAATACTGGCTTTACTTATCATTTAATATCATATGGGGCGTGCGCTATTTTACAGTATAAAGCCATCAGCATAACATGCGTCCACTAATACATACATATGTATATATATCCGTCTTAGATATATACTTAGTCTGGCTATAAATACTGTTACAAAGGAAAACAAAAAAAAATCTATGGCAAATAACATTTATTTATTACTTTTACAGTGTGTTAGTTTAAAACATAAATATAAAACAATTTTAAGTATAAAAAGCTTATTCGAAGTGGTCTCCATTGGCTGCAATACAGTCCTTTAAACGTTGAGGCCAGTTATCTATAGAAGCACGCACTCTTTCCATGGGAATATTTTTCACTGCCAATCGTACGGATTGTTTTAGGGACTCCAAACTATCATAACGTTTAGAGCAAGCCGTACTCTCTAAAACTGACCATAAATCATAATCCAGCGGATTAAGATCGGGACTAGACGACGGCCAGTCTTCAGCTCTGATGAAGTCCGAAACGTTCGTTTCCAACCATGACTGCGTAGACCGAGCTTTATGACCTTTTTTTTTTTTTTTTTTTTTTAACGCTGGGGAATCCATTTACGGATACCCGGTCGAGAGGGGTAATAGACCGGGTTATGTCGGACTCCGGCGCCTCCAGAGAAGAAGAGGGAGAAGAGGAAGACCAAAGTCGTCCTCTTCTTCCAATTCCTACCGGGAGACTACGCCTTGAGAAAGGCGCGCGAGGCGCTGCGCGGCGTCTACCACGCAGGACCCGCCCCGCAAAACCGACTACCGACTAAACCCCATCGAGCTTCACCACTCCGACTCCACGAAACCTACGGTACCGCACAATGCGCGCCGCAGGCTCGCCGTCGCCGGTACCCATCCTGACAATAGGACGGGATCCAATCCCCGGGAAGATCCCGCAGGACGTCGTCTCAGGAGACACCGTGAGTGGCGCATAGGAGCCACCTTGCGCCGCCTCACCACGGAACCGACAGCAGAGCACTGGGNTTAGGAGCGAGAGCTCTAATGCGAGGCATAGCGGCGTCGCACACCCGCGACATCGCCTCGCGCAGATGCTCCACCCCCTCGCACACGTCTGCTGGCTCACCAAGCGAGTCAAGACGCCATGCCTGGACTACAGCCGCCTCACACAACCTCTCGACGTTGAGGCGCTTCTGGGCCCAACGAGGACCCCCCGCGCCGCCACCGCAGAGCAAAGAAGAGCCCTGGATAGACTCCGCCGGAGGCACTGCGACACCGAAACGAATGTAGCGGTGGTCGGAGAGCGTCTCCTCGCCGACCATCACGGCCCAACCGCGTACGCGATTCGCCACGTCGGGAGTATTTATGGCCAGACTAAGTATACATAAATAAGTTTGCAGGGTTACATGGCTTTGTCAGCTGATAAGTTTGTTAACTAACTAATGTTTTTATGCGAATGAAATTTTATATTTCTAATTTTATTTGTTGGCTAATCTAAGCCTGCTTATCTATAAACGGAATAAATTGACGCTTTAAAATTTTGTAAACGTATTTGGAGCAATTGAGTTTATTTGGAAAAAAAATCTTTGATGCGTACCAAAATAAAAATACGATTGAATGCAGTGAATGAAATTCAGAACTTTAGCAGTTTCTAAGTCAAGAAATAAATCGTAATCCATTGTTTTTATGTATGGAGCTGAAGTAATCGCCGTGAAACACTCATCGTAACGAGAAAATGGCGCGAAAATCATACGAACAGTCACTTTTATTTTCCACCGCTTTAGTCATCGTTGACGTCTTACGCCTATGGATTCGTAAGGCTCCTCGATTATGAAGCGCGCGTGTCGCTTAGCAGCTGCTAGGCAAAGGCTAGGAGCATAACAGATTAATCCGTCAGTATATCGTGGACCGTCGCAGGCGGAGCACTCGTCGCCGGTCGTCACAGTTTACGACTACGAACTCGCTAAGTTACGAACGAACCATGAGGACGACTTATATAACAAAAATAGTGTTTCGTATTTAAATTAATTCTGTGCTGTGTTTCTATTAACGATGGCTTTATATGTGTGTGTGTTACTGTGCGTGTGCGCCTTCGTTTCGGGGTTCAACGTGGACATACCCTCGAGGGTGGTTTATAGGGGAAATGAAAATTCTATGTTTGGATTTACCGTTCAGGCTCACATTGACGGAGATCAGAAAATGTAAGTGTGTTTTCATACAATTCTTAGCTTATACATTTTTTTTTACAAATTTGTAGAATCGGAATTTTATTGAATTACTGAATATAAAGAATGTATTATATATACGTTAATACGTTCTTACGCGTATCTTGAGTTCATCTTAAATATCGCGATGATGTCAGACGGCGTTAATACTAGTTGGCAACCGATGAACTGGCGGACAACGTAAACAACGATGTATTTAAAAGCAACTGACTAATATTTGTAATTTATCAGCAGTAGTTATTGTATCTACTAATGAATGGAATCTTCGTTATTCGGTAGGCTAACTGTGGTCGTCGTGTTATTGAGATTTCTTTGTCCACTGAGTTTCTCTCCAGATTTTCTCAGTGGGTCGCGTTTCTGATCCGGTGGTAGATTCTGTGAAGCTCTACTCTTGCTAGGGCCAGTGTTAGCAAGACCTTCTAGTTCGAGCCCCGAGAGCTCACCTACACGCTAGGGTAACGTTAAGGCTATCAGCATAGGTAGAATAAAAAAAAAAAATTTCAATCTCAAGATTCAAAGTAAAAGCCAATTTCAGGAGCCTCGATCACTTAACATGTGTGCGTCTGAGCTGAAGCAAGTTTTGTTAAATTTAGCGACCTAAAATATAAACCTACTTATTCTTCTTCTTTGTCTCCACCTTATCCCACTAGGCGGGGTCGGCACAACGATTTTTTTTATTCCATTCTCCTCTATCAGCCGTCATCTCAACACTCACTCGTCTTCCTCTTATATCGTTATTCTCACATTCCATCTATGTCTTCTTCGGTCGACCTAAATGTAAAATATAAAACTAATTAAAAGACACAATTTTGTGTACTAACAGGAAACAAAAATATAGATTTTCGATGCACATGTGCCTTAGGAGTAAAGCGTCAATCATTAAGTAGCTTTAACTCTAGCGACTCTACTTTATCTCGAAATGTAGAGAGAGTCTACCAAATTGAATATGCTTAGCCATTCTTGATTCTTGATTTTGTTAGTTGATATTATGACAGAAATTTACGTCCCCGGTATTCATTTACGTCTAACAGATAAGCGACTTTTTTTGTAATGTTTAAATGATAAAAATAACACTTTTTGTAATGTGCTATCAAAGCTACTAAAAAATATCCACAACGTTTTAAGTCATACCATATTCCTGTATTATGTACTATTTCCAAATACATTGAAAATGAAGCTATTATTCGTATATAAATTTACATTTTCAAAAATGCGGCACTTTACCATTTTAACAAGTTAAAATAAATATAAGCGATCGTTTTAAGCCTTTTGAACATCTCTGACAATTAATGGGATCAGCACGACCATGGACATTCGTGAACATATTTCACGTTATAAATTTGTTTTCTCGAAAACTGGAAAAGCGGATCGTGCAATCAACGATTTCACTAAATATGTAGTTGACTACAAAATATTGCAAGGCAGCTTATTCATGATCAGAATTGATTCATATAATATGAATTGCATCCAAGTAATTGTTTAAGTCACGTGTCAAATATGTAATGTATGAGTAATGTTTCTTTGTATGGAAGGATTATTATTTCGGAATTCTTGTAATATAAAAACTCAGCGCTTTCAGGGAATAAGTAAACATGGCGTCCCGTCCATTTTAGCGGGAAATCACGTTTATGAATAAGGAACTTTTCACATCTTCTAAATATTTAAAAAATCCTTTTTTTAGATGAAAATTACACATTATCATTGGTATTTTTATAATCACAAATTATTCAATGCAAAGAAATACTTTGAAGCTACTTACTACC